GGTATAATACTATAAAACGTATATAGACCGATAGAAATAGCTCATTTAAAAAAAGAAAATTGTTACCTGGACTTTTATAATTGGAAATGGTAAAGGGGCTTATAATAAACGAAAAAAATAAATAAATAAATAAATGCGTGAGCTGGGGCGGCGGAGGGTTGATTTGGGGGGTTGAAAAGTTGTGAAAAATTGTATCATTGGGATTTCTGTCGAAAAATGACGTCAAACAAAAAAGTATCCAATACAAAAGTTCTAAATCATACAAAATTCTACAACTTTTGTAAAGGTCACTTTTTAAGATAACCTCAAAATTCCAGATAAAAACGCGTAAAACAGGTTTTTTCTGATTTTTCGTTTTTTATTTCTTATTTCCGAAAAAATAATTTAATTTTGACGAAACTTGGGAAAAGTATACCTTTCTGTGTCTTAAATAACCACAAATTTTTTTAGATAAAAAAATCAAGAAGTTTCCGAGATATTAATTTTTTCCGGTCTGAAACACTTTTTCTTCAAAGAAAAATTCTACTTAGAAAAATCATCGTACAGAGTTCTGTCGGTGATCGTATTTTTCATTTTGACATATACTTTTTGGTGAAATAAAAAAATCTGTAATCACAGTTCAAAAACATGCTTAAAAATGCAAAAAATAAAAAATTACTTGCAACAATGAATTTTTGCAATCCCATCCTCATCTTGGACACATTGTATATCTATGAATTCATCAAAATTTAAAAAAAAAATAAGTACACTAATCGATCCTACGGAAAAATATATTATTTTATTTTATTTATTCACTATTCGACTTATGTTTATAGCAATACTGTACAAAAATAAAGTTTTGGTTCAAACAATGAGACTTTTTTTTTGTATTTTTTCTGTAGAACTGAACGATGTAATGAGTTTTTAATTTTTTTTAAATTTAAACGAATTATCAACTATTACTGAAAAATTCATTGCTGCAAGTCATTCTTTATTTTTTTGCATTTTTGAACATGTTTTTGAACTGTGATTACAGATTTATTTATTTCACCATAAAGTATATGTCAAAACGACAATGATTACCGGCAGAACTGTGTGATGATTTTTTTAAGTAGAATCTTTCTTTGAAAAAAAAAAGTGTTTCAGACTAGGAAAATGAATATCTCGGAAACTTCTTGATTTTTTTACCTAAAAAAATATGTGGTTTTGATTTTTGCATGCCCTACAACTTTTGTATTGGATACTTTTTTGTTTGACGTCAACTTTCGCCAGAAATCCCAATGATACAATTTTTTCAACCCCCCCAAATCAACCCTCCACCACCCGTTCTCACGCTTTTATTTTTTTTAGGTTTATTATAAGCCCTTTTACCATTTCCACTAATAAAAGTCCAGGTAACATTTTTTTTTCTCCAAGTGCACCTAATATTCTAATTTTTCGATAAAATGATGCGAAATAGGTGAAAAATTCCTCAAAACAAAACCGCTAGTGATTGGCCTATTAGTACAACTTTAATAATGCAAATTTAGTAAAATATATACACAAGCAAAGCAATTATTAATAATTAACAAGAAACATCGTATGATATTTACGTAAAGAAAAAACGCGTTGCACATATTTAAATGTATGTTAATCATAATTTATTATTGTGTTTAATAAATTCATGATTTTAAATGGCGAATAATTAGTCCAGTATAATTTTTCATGATGATTTACGCGGGAGTGAGTTGATAGTTTAAACTTTAATCTAGGAAGATAGTGATATTGCGAAATCATCTATTATCTCCTCATTTCTATAGAAAATATCACACTACTTTTGACACGTCACCACATAACCTAAAACAAATCAAATCACTGTCATCAATCAAAATCTTCAATCACTTCAAAATTCCCAATAAATCCTCTGCACTACAGCTATGATGGAGGAGCCAGATGAATCATCAGAGGCACTAAAACGAATGAAACAACTCGAAAACCAAAACATTAAATTCAAATGTTTACTAGAAGCTGCCTTAGAATTAGCCAGTCGGGATGCCCAAAACATTAACAGTTTGCAAAATGAATCCGACTCGTTGAAAACCAAAGTCGAAAGGTTGGAAAGGGAAAAGCTGCAATTGGAAGGTGAGCTGCACGCCGTTTTAGAAGACAACGGAAGTGAAGTCATCCAAACAGTCCGTAAATTAGAAAAAGAGAACGCAGAACTGAAGGCAAAATTCGACCTCATCGTGAGTAAAATTAAAACAGAAATCTTTGACCTGAGCAAACTAAAAGCTGAAGATGTCGAATTGAGAAACGTGTTAAAGCAGCTGGAAAATGAGAAGACGAAATTATTACAGAAGATTCAAAAGGTAGGTGAAAATTCTAGCGATACGAATGATCCACCACAGAAAAGGCTATTTGAAGTTGAAAGTGAAAAGATCAGTAAAGTAAGCAGCTTCGAAGGACAACCGTCCAATGATTTATTGCCAGCTATCAGATCTCTAGACGACACGTTCAAACACTACGTTCAAACTCTTGAAGAACAGTCGAATATTAAGGAGAAGATATCCGAACTAGAACATAAGAACGAGGAGTTAATAAAAGTGGTGCAGAAGACGGATAGTGCGGAATTGAGATCACAAATCAAAATAAACGAAGAAATTATAACGTCCAATTCAGACTTCTTAAAGAAAGTTGACAAAGTAAGGTCTCGAATGGAAGAAATTAATAACGACTTTGTAAAAACATTAGAGACGCCGAAAGACATGGTTGAGGAGAAAATATCAGAATTAGAAAACGCAAAACTTAAGTTGTACAAAGAACTGGAACAATATCTCTTGAACTCCTCCAACGCGATCAGCGGTCTAACCAAAAACATCTCTGATCCCGACATCAAACGACTTGTAAACGAAATAGAAATCCAAAAAACCGTTTTGTTGTACAGCTTACAATCCGTGAAGCTAATTCCTTATCAGCTAGACCCTGACCGACCTGAAATTTCTCTACCAAGCCTTCCAAATTCCACGTCAAACGTAAATATCAACCCTAGCCCACAAGCACAATCTAACAATACTCAATCTGCAATCTGCAAAGAAAACAAAGACGTGGAACCATCCACTTCCAAAGAGGACCACCAGAAGCTGGAAGAAGAAGTCAACAGACTAGAACAAGAGAGGCAAAGGCTACTACAGCAGCTACGTTCTATATCGGAAACATCAGCGAATAGATTCGACGAGACGGCAACTCAGAACGAGATACAAATGCAGACCCAAAGCGAATTGCACAGCACCTTCATGAGGGAGTCTTCCCATGAAATTGTTATAGCGCAGAACTACGACGACGCCACGAACCAACTTTACGCGGACGAAGACGCTCGATTGGAGCAAAGGATCAGAGAGCTGGAAATTGAAAATATTAGAATACAAAGGGAGCTGGACAATATCTTGGAGGAAATAAGGGCGGACAAGAGCGAGATGTCGCGTCTGCAGTTCACAGGGCAAGCGTTAAGGGAGAGAATCGACGAACTTGAACAGAACACCGTAGAGAAAGAGAAATGATGAAAATAAATAAGGCGGAAATACAACTCGTGTCACGAAATTGACAACAGATTTCCATGTATTTAGAAGAAACCAATATATTAATTGAAATTATTGATGCAGTTCAGAGTTTTAATTTTATTCTTTATTTTCATTTAGTGTTCTTCTAATTAGACATTAGATTGTAATTTAACAGAATGCCACTGCAGTTCAGTTTTAATTGTATTCTTTATTTCCATTTAGTGTTCTTCTAATTAGACATTAGATTGTAATTTAACAGAATGCCACGCCAGTGGCGTCCGCGCGGCAACATCGTTGCGACATTTCCGAATAATTCCCGAAGCTTCGCTGCGCAGAGGTACTATTGCGGGTAAATTTCACAACTATTATCTAATTACAGCCCCACAGCGTCACCCTCAGGCTCTTAATTTATGATAATGAATGTGAAAACGTTTCCTCGATTGGTAACGCTGCAAGGCAACAAGGCGCAAACATAGCAATCAAGAAATTTACCCCGAGAAATGTAGTTCGTGGATTATTTGACTGGATCCGAGTACTTTCTTTTCCTTTATTTTTAATTCTGATGGATTCGTGATATATCTAGCTTATGCCGTGAGAGAGAAAAAAACAAAATTGATGTAGCAATTCTCAGTAACATGTAAATATGAAGACCTGTTTCTAATTTATCTTTTTATAGAAATATAATAATATACTCATTCCGTTACAGTAACTTTTACTCAGAATTTCACTGGAGAAATAGATTTTTGTTTCAATTTCGAGAAACCATCTGTGGGTTGCTTTCGGTGTGTAGCAAAACGAAACTCTTTCTCAATAGTAAATTAAAAGTATTTTTATTGAAAACAAAGTTAGTGAAAAAGAAGTGTTGTCGGGGCGAGCGTTCGCTGGAGAGTTTTTTTGGTGCGGAGTCGCTCACAGGTATAAGTATCTGATCCTTAGCGCCAATCTGGCGTGGTCCTCTTCTGGAAACTATATCCTGAGTTGCACATTGTTTTTTGTCGCTTGCAACGGTTAGGCCGTCCGGCGTCAGGCTGGCGCTCTTGACTTAAATTGGTCACTTGCAGATATGTGTACCCCCACATCATTTCCTTTTGAACTTATGGGCGCCATATTGAATTTTTTGTCAGCGGTGTATCATAAGTACAAAGAAAACAAATTTGATCCTGAAAACAACATCAGGGAAGGCCTAGGGGTTCTAATAGCGGGTCCGCCCCCACAGAGCTTAGCCCGAGAATTACAAGGATAGGGCAAGTTATTCCTAGCTAAAGCTAAGAAAGTGAAGGGTAATTCTGTAAGGTACATAGAAATAACAACCCAAAAAACCATCGACTTTAAATATCAAAACAGGCCATGAAAATCTCTTTCAACGTATTTTGAAGTAATTCCAAATGTTTTCGATAGAGGAGTTAAAGTATCTAGAGAAACTATGTTAAAATTTAAAAAATCAGTGTTTATATGTATATTGTCATTGTTATTTTTGTTTTGAAGGTATCCCGAATCCAAGTTGGCCAAATTATTCAACGGCAGCATACCTATCGTTCTGGATTCCTTGAAACAACACTACTTCATCGACCGTGACGGAGGAATGTTCAGGCACATCCTGAATTTCATGAGAAATTCCCGCCTGTTAATCCCCGACAATTTCCAGGATCTGGATCTGTTATTAGAGGAAGCGAAATATTTCGAAATAGCACGTAAGTTTTTCGTTTAACATCAAGTATACCTTTAGCGCGATTTGAATAACAAACTATTTCTAGTTCTATTAAATAGGAGGGTATTTTTTACTCTGTTTTAAAGGTAATAAGCGAATTCGATCAACATTAAGAAAAAATGTGTTTAAAGAATGTTATAAACTAATGCAAAAAATTAAAGAGTTAAAAGAAGTTTTCCGTGATTTTTGACAGACTATATTTAGGTGAAAAATGGTCGTATCGGGAATTAGAACAAAGCATTTTGAAGCCCCAAGATTCTAGTTTTTAGATCTTTCGGTAGAAATCTTTTAGCAGCTACGGTTATCATGCAATTCTAAGAAATAGCGCTACAAAAAATTTTGAAATTTATTTTCAGAGAAGAAAAAGGGTAGTTCTGAAAAAAAAAACGTTTTTTAAGTGATTATAGACTGCACAAAAATTAATTAGAAATTTGTCTCAAAAAACGGTAATTTTAATTTAATTAAAAGTTGATGAACAGAAACATAGGACGAAATAGCCGAATCGTGCTTGAAACAATTGGATTTTGTTTTCTTAAATGTCCGGAAGGTTTTCCAAAAAACCGATTTTTCATCAATTTAAACGTTATTTGTGGTAAAAATGTGAGAAAACTTCGAAAAAATTGCCATATTAATCATGATTATGTGTTTGACTGTTTGAAACAAAGAAACGATTCGAATATTTCTAATTTAGCCGTCAATTTTCTAAAAATCCATAAATTACCTTTTTTCCCTGGTTTTTAAAATTCGTGTAAAAGATGAAAAAAGAATATTTTCCGAAAAGTTGCGGCAGCAGGTTATAGGAAATTTATTCCAGATTTCGAAACTGTTCTTCAATTCTCTGTACGAGCATTTGTCGCCGAGATATGGATTATTGAGGATAAAAGGATACTTTTTCATTAAAACTCCGATATTTCGATGAAAAATGGTCGTATCGAAATGAAAAAAAGAGGAAATTGAAGCTAAATTATCAAGCTATATGGTTCATGCAATGGCTTAGCTGAAAAAAATTTTTCCAAGTCCGTGACTTACAATTAGAAAAAAAAGCCGTAGCCGTAGTTCCTAAAAAAATTCGACCCAAAGATCTAAAAACTAGAATCTTAGAGCTTCAAAATACTTTTTTAATTCCAAATTCCAGATACGGCCATTTTTCACCTAAATACAGTCAAAAATCAGGGAAAAATTTCGGAAATTCTTTTGACCCTTTAATTTTTTGCATTAGTGTAGAATGAAGTCGACAACAGAAATTTGGATAGCAAACCCCAAAAACAAGATCCCCAACTGCTAATATTGCAGGAAACAACTATTCTATGGGCTATATATCCCAACTAGCATTGAACTATACCAATACCTAATAGAACAAATAATTGTCGAAAATAAATATTAAAAAATGATAAAAATTATTAAAAATCTAGATTTTCTCTACTATTTTGACGAGATTTGTTAGCTGTTACAGTTCGTAACACAATGTAAGAGAAAAGCCGTAATTGTAATTTTGTTGGCACAGTTTTAGAATAGCGCCGTCACTTAATCATTTAATACAAAAAATGTATGCCCTTGTATCTCCCTAAACATAATCGTCAGTTTGTCGAGTCGTTCAACTAAGTTAACAGAAAAATGTACCAATACAACGTGTCCTGCACGAAACAAGTCGACAAAATTCTATATTTAGAACCACTTAGGATTCCTATTATTTTTTTAAACTTAATTTTTTTTAGAGCAGCAGCAAAATTAGTTTCTAAAACTTGAAAATGATGCCGGTGAACTTTTTGTAGAACCCATCCAAATCGATTATATAATTAGTGATTTTTTACAACTTAACCAACGTTATGAAAAATTTAAGAATATCTCACATTTTTTTTTCTAAGCTAGAAAATAAGTTTTATTACATTATTAAAAGTCTGAAGCAAGCTTATATAAAACAGAACCGATATAGCACTAGCTTCTGTAACGGACGAAGTCAAACGGTGTAACTAAACGCTCTTTGGTTCGAGGTTTTTGTGGCCTGCGTAACAAATTAGCACGGCTGGAAATATCCCGCAAAACTTAGTTGCGAAATGACTCCTTCGTTTTATGTAATAGTTTTTGTGGAAGAAAGTAACCGCGGCAACAGTCACGTTTCGCAGAAGTTACTAAATCGGCGGCATTAAATCTTTTGCGCTATCGCAAAGAAAAGGGTTTTTCTCATTCTATTTCTGTTTTATTGTTCTGATTTGAATGTGCTCTGTACAACAAGCGGACTGGAACGGCAGTTATATAAATTTTATAACAAATCGACAAATGTTTCTTCATTCACTGGCCACTATTTTTACAAATGGCAACTTATAGGTACCTCAGATAAGAAAGAATTGGGTTACGTGTTCTTATTCAGAATAATATATCTGATTTTCTTTAACCTTTTTTTTTAGTATTTTTCATACCTCGCCACCGGACAAGCTAGTATGACCCCAAACAATTCCTTAACATCTTGAGTATCATTTCTAATTACTTTAGGAAGTCGATTTTGTGTTTTTTGAATAATATAAGACCTGCAGAAATTTCTCAATTTTTTTTATAGTTTTTTATGAATAAGCTAAACGTCATAATATTCTATTCGTGTAAGCTCTAAATATCGGATGACAAAGATTCATACGCCGTATATTTCAACGAAATACCGTACGTATTAATTTTCTCGTATGTGCAAAACAGGAAATTGCAGCTATTACTGGGAAATAGTTTGGTACGATCGAATGTTGTTGATGGATTTGCTGCATAACTTGTGTCAGCCCGTTTTTACAGGCATATGTATTCCTATATACCAAGAAATATGTAAATAAAATCGTTTTAAATTCAACATATTTTTTTAAGCTTCATTACAGTCATACCTTTCATATAGGTAACTTTTTTACAAAGTCACAAAGATGAGAAAGCCAGAATACTGAAAGTTGTCGTCATTATAATAATCAAATTAGAATAGAATTTGGTTTCCGATAAAAATGCTATTACGGAAGCTCACTTACATTTTTAATTGCTTCATTAGGTTCTTGTTTATAAATATTTCGGTTTTTATCGTTTTTATCGTTCGGGATGTCTATAGTTTTTCAAAACTTTTATCAGTAAGTAGTGACAATTTTCTTGCCAACAGACATACAGATGCAATACTAACGAAGCCAACCATTTTTTTACGACGTAAATTGTGAATGACTTTTTTTGCTCTTTACTTTTGGGCTTCCATCGACTGAACTAGCTAGGGACTTGCAAAGAATTCAACAATATTTGCGACTACATTTCACTTAGAGTACATGCTAAAACTATGCCAATAAAACTAAGCTATTTATTTAACAAGCTATAATGTTATGCATATAGTCCAACGACAAAATTACTCGGGTTTCTATAAGTAATAATCAACATGAATGTATTCTGTTAAACCATTACTTACGCTGTTCGTACGGTCGTAAAATTATCATATTTATCGACTTAATTAATGGCGCTACGCATAAAATGCCAAACGAATTTTTAAGTCAGTATGAGGATGGAGAAAGCCGAACTCTGTTCTTCTCGCTAGTACCAACAGCTCAGCATACCTGATGTAGATACAGTAATATGAACATTTTCATATGCCATGCTTTTTACTAAAATAAATATCTCGTTTTTACAAGCACCCTGTATATATTATCTAATTGGAGGTGTCGTTTTCAGGACAATAAAAATACTATAGAATAAAATGTTTCTGTCAAGGACTGTACAAGAGCTTTAGTTGTTCCTTTGTACCTACATATACTGGTTAATCTCTCTATTTGTCAAATATTTTGTCTGCTATAGTCTGTTTAGAAATGAAAGAGAGTAATTAAAGCTTATTATGTATGCAAATCGTAAATAAATGTAGTACTGGTGCTTATATTCAATATTTTTATATTATGTATTATCGGTATAGAATGAGGTGTACTTTTTAAAAAACTTTGTGCGATCGGACTGTACTAAATTGTAGCAGGTAGCTAAAATTTAATCCCCGACAATCCGTCTTTGTCTATGCCGCTTCAATTTCTCGGTCCATTTCTCTTATAAGTAAACAATATAAAAACAGCATTTCAAAACATGAGGCTACTTTAAGCATCATAACCGGGTTAAGAGGGTTTTTAGTAATTCAAATAAAATTATTCAATATTATTATCAAAATATTTATTTAAATTTAATGAATAGACTTTTATTCCACACAAAAATATATGTATTTTGAAAATTCAAATTATGGTGAGTAAATGTAGTGTTGTATAAATGTACAATAAAGAAAATAAAAAAGTAGGTATATTAAAATTCATCCTCTGAATATTCTGATGAATTATCTTCGTCTCCTAGATTGATAACGATAGGTTCCACAGTAACGTCAATTAAATTATCGAGTTCCCACATTTTCTCCTCTTCTTTTTGTACATGATGTATACATCTTTGCCAGTTATCTGCAGTTACTCGTTCCAAGGAATTTTTTAACAAAATTTTCACGTCACTTAATTTAAACGTCGTATTATTTCGCGCTACATCTCCTTTTACCTGCGCCCAGACTAATTCGATTGGGTTAAGTTCACAGTGATAAGGTGGTAACCGTAGTACCGTTATTTGGCGATTTGTTGCCATTTCATCGATAACATATTTTTTCTGATCTTTATTAAGATTGACAAGTGTCAAAAGTTCCTTTTTCACCATATTTGTTTCAAAAGAAATGTTTTTTCCGGATAACCATTGAATTATATCGGCTTTCCTCCAAGCAGTCGTAGGCGTCCGCTCGGTCTGCCGTGAATGGTAACTGGCATTATCCATGACAATTACAGACCCCGGAGGAATAAGATCCAACATCTGTGTAAAATACTCTTCGAAAACATCTGCGTTCATGTCTTCGTGATAGTCACCTGTATTTTTAGATTCAAATAAAAGTAAACCGCCATCTACAAAACCACTGGCACTACCTATATGTGTCACTATTAATCTTCGCCCTTTACCTGAAGGTGCCTTGAACCCTGTTGAAAGTCCATCCAAAAATGCTTGTCGAAAACTTTTTACATTTTTATCTTGCCATACTTTTGTTACAGTATATCCCTCGTTGACCCAAGTTTCGTCTAGATAATAAATATTCCTCCCTTCGTCACGGAATTTTCTAATTGATCTTAAGTAGGATCTTCGCCAACAAATAATTTCATCTTTATCGATAAGAACTGACTTCCTGTTCTGCTTTTCCCAGCAAAAATTCAACTCTCGTAAGACGGCCCATAATTTGCTTCTACTGATTTTTGGCAAATCGTTGTCCTCTGAAAGTTCACTTAAAATTTTGTTTAGCGTTGGTATTTCTTTTTTAAAATAAAATGAGTGTACTTTTCTGCGAATGACATTTTTGAAGAAATCATCTATAACGACTTTTGACCTCCCTGTAGATGATTTTGGGGGATTTACAGTATCTTGTTCATTTTTTGTTTCCTTTAAAAGTCTGTAGATAGTCGATTTTCCAATCCCTGTCATTTTTGTTAGCATTAGTGTTACCCGATAATTACCTGAAACGAAATATTACCACGCCCATGGCCGGTTCTTATCTCGGGGTTTTATTACTCTCTTTCATTTCCAAACAGACTATAGTCTGTTCAATATTTAAAAACGGTATCGAAGCTTACATTAATATCAATTTTGTCACATTTTAAGATCATTTATCAAATATTACAAAGTCAACAGTTCATACTAACAAGCCTACAGTTGCAGATGTTTCCATATTTACTGTGTTTCAAATACTTTTAGTTAACAATAACCAAGCAGGTGTAGTCTATGCAGATTTTTCAAAGGCCTTCCATAAAACTAGTCATGAATGTTTGTTGTTGACCACAGAAGTGGCAAAAACTTGGTAGGACCCTTACGAAGGACTAAAAGGGGCCCTCCGCCAAGTTTGGACATTAGATTCGAGTTCAGCACCCAAAAAATCAGTAATTTACGTTAAAATAGAGCTAACTGCATATTCAATACTTGTCCCTACAATGACAAAAAATCTGAAGGATCAAAATTTCTTTATTCTTTAAATTTTTTAATCAATGAATTAATTTCGCTTTTGTCTTTGCAGCCATGGTGCGGCACTTGGAACAAATGAAGAAGGAGCGCATAAAAAACGGAGTGGTTTCCCCTAGCACCCTCAAATCGCTGACGGGAGACAGTTCCGGCCATACCCAAAGAAACAGTTTCCGGCAGGGCGGGCAGGAGACGTACGAGTGCGTCGCCCTCCACGTCAGTCCGGATCTGGGGGAGCGAATCATGCTCTCCGGAGATCGCTCCCTCCTCGACGAGGTCTTTCCGGAAACCAACCAAGCCGTTATGGACGTCAGATCGGGGGTGGCGTGGAATCAGCAGGACGCTCACCACGTCATAAGGTTAGTAAATCACAAATAACAAATAAACAAATTAATGCAACAGTTTAACGAGCATAAAAATGAAATTATTTTTTGAAATTGTATACTGAACACAGTTTGTTTATTACAATCTTAATCATAGGCCAGGAAATAGAGATTTGGACCCGACTTTTTGTTTGGGCAAGATGAATTATAAGATGTTATAAAATATATTTCGACAACCTCCTGAAGATCGTCATTCCTTGAACCTTTTTTGGTTTTATTAACCTCCTACAGGGTATAAGAAGTTTGACTGCCATTACTTCAGCATGAGATAGAGTGATCATGAATGAACAAAAAAGTTGTATAACATGGGCGTAAGATTAACAGTTTTCAAAATACAGCGAGTATTAATATTGGGGAGTTTCATCACAACGTGACAACAGCGTTAACCTAATGTTGATGACAACTGATGCACACCACGCCCACGTGTGCACGCGGCAGACTTATCCTACGGAATAACAAAAATGTAAACAACTATTTATTACTGTGAAACATTTATTAAATTTCAAGACAATTATTGTTTTCCAGTTTTTAAATAAATATGTTGTGTTTTTTCTGTATTTCACCCGTTAATACTGGCCGATTCTCTTGCAGATTTCCCCTGAACGGCTACTGCAAGCTCAACTCCATGCAGGTGATCACCAGACTGCTGAACGCGGGGTTCAAGATCGCCGCCAGCAACGGCGGCGGGGTGGAAGGCCAGCAGTTCTCCGAGTACCTGTTCATCAGAAAAGTGCTGCCCGGCTGACCGGCCGCCCCCCGAACAACTGACAATCAGCGTTCGCGTCGACGCAAAGCCCCCTATTTATGTTTCCGTTAGAAATTTAAAAATAAAAAAGGAGATAGGCCTTAATTTAATCTGGAGATCTAATTGTTAACGCATTCGTTCGATGGTTTAATGCTATTAAATGTAAATAATTATTATTAATAATGTATTTCCCATTGGAGCACTTGTTTCGCTGATCTCATTAGATCTAATCGGCTGTGATCCGTTTTAAAACAGTGATGACTGGATTGCTCTCGGGCAACTGGCGGATCGACATTATACTGTTTGTAAAATATAATGCTATATACTTCACAATAAAATTAGGTATTATTAACACTTGGGAGCTTTTATTTTCCTAATGACTCGCTTATCGCACGACACGGACGGTTTTGCTACATTCCAGACACATCTTCTACAAAAAAGAGTTTCGAAAATGTTTAGGCCAAGTTTACAAATGAATCACTTCTTTATTGGTGCATTCACATGGAACATGGCATTTGACAAATGAAATGTTATCGTGTTATCTCTATAGACTTTAAATACACTATATATAAGGGCCACACCATTGTGGCTTCGATACACTAGACTCATATGAGTAGGGGAGGCTAGCCTCCGTTTCCCTTCTTAAGTCTTCAGGCTTGGATTAGACTTTGTTCCTGTACACGATTTGACTCTTGTGCTGCTCACAATCTTGACACCAGCATTAAACAAGTCGTAGATAGTTACTTTTATCATTCTTGGCAATTTTGTTAGATAAAGTTAGATATTTTAAACAATACCGATCTAGGTATACCCACAGCTGTTGGTTAATTCCCACTGCTGCATTATTGAATAATCCAAAAGGCTGTGCCTATGTCCTGAAGGGATTTACAGGATATACCATACAAAAAAGAAGTCATTTCAAGTATCATTTCATTAATTACGTTTTACATCACTACATATTATAAAACAAAGGCCTCCGCCGCGTCTGTCTGTCTGTTCGCGATAAACTCAAAAACTACTGCACCGATTTTCATGCTGTTTTCACCACTGGATAGAGTGGTTCTCGAGGAAGGTTTTAGTATATAATTTGTTAAGTTTTTGTATACATTAACGATATTTGTTGGAGGTGTCGGAAAAAAATAAGCCGATTGGGAGCTTTCAACGAAAACGCCGCATAAACACTTTAAGATATAACAAAATAATGTATGGTGGAATTGTGTATCTTATATAGGTCTACAGAAAAGTCCGCGATGGCATATGTATATCTCTTAAGGATAACATACTATATCCATGTTAATACTTTAAAAAATGGGCAATTATAAAGCGGTAATTGGAAAGCTATTTACACAAATACGGTATTAATCCTTATCATTTTAAATACGTTAGTTGGCTTGAGCATTCCATGAAGATTATTTTTTTCCCTTTACACCATGCAAATTAAATGAATGCCTTAGGAGATATAGCAAAATCAAAATAATGCGCAACGAAATTAATTTCGTGTCGCCGTAATTCGACCGGGCCGCGCGGGCGCCCCGTGCCTCGCGTCCGAGCCGGGGGGGTCCGAAAGTTTATGTAGTGTATCAATGTATGGTGGAATTGTGTATCTTATATATGCCTACAGAAAAGTCCGCGATGGCATACGTCTATATGTTAAAGGTAACATACTACCTATATCCATTTTAATACTTTAAAAAATTGGCAATTATAAAGCGGTAATGTAAAAGCTATTTACACAAATACGATATTAATCCTTATCATTTTAAATAAGTTAGAGGCTTTAAGCATTTCATGCACATTATTTAACTCTTTTACACCATATAATTTAAATGAATATCTTAGGAGTAATCGCAAAAAAAATACGGACGCGAGAATAAAATTCAAGCGCCTCGCTTCGCTTGATGCGATCGCTGACCCTCCCCCCGCACCGTCTTGCCTACTGTTTAGCTAATAAGCCGAAAGATAACGCGCGCGTGATCCTTTAATAAACTAACTTGGAGCGAATGGAGGTGACGACTGACGACTGTGTTTTCTTTCTGGGTGTTGTTGGAAAGTTATAATTGCGTTAGATATTTTAAGGTCACATTTTTGTTTTGTATTTGTTGTCTTTAGGTAGTCGGAACATAAATAGATACTTGCAAACATACTCTTATTTCATTGAGTTTTAATAATGTGTTTGTTTTTTTCTTATTGTGAATCATGTAAAACTTCATAGTCGCATTTTTGTTTCGTGTTTGTTTTCTTTAGGTAGTTACTAACTACCTAAAGTAGGTAACCAAGTAGTTACCCAACTACTTGCTTATTAATTAAAATTGATAGTCCTGAACATAGGTATTTTAATTTAATTCGTTTTGTTTTCACATTGTTGGTAGTTACCTATATTGTTTTAAATTTAAAGGTTTTGCATTTTTAGTTTTGAGTTCGTTTGTTGTCTTTAGGTATATAGATATATCGTGAATTATTTTAAAATTAATATTAGGGTCGCATTAGATGAAAGATGATTGATTTTTTGTTTGTTACGATTTAACTCAAAAGCTACTCAACCAATTTTACCGAAAGCTACATCTTCTCGGAGTAACAAAGGCTATTTTATATTTGCCCGTGCGAAGCCGGGGCCGGTTGCTAGTAAAAGATATATCATTGAAAATAGAATACTGTTCTCTCAGTGTGGTCTAAATTATCCTCTGCAAAATTTATTTATTTATAATATTTAAAAAATAAACTCATTTAATTTGCAAATAAAGCAACTATGGACTATATCGAGTCGAATTACACAGACGCCCTCTATTTAGATACACCCTGTACATAAAATAATTTTTTCGAGAAACACCTCTCACTTTTAAACATAAAACTCACGGGTGCCGAGCCACGACGAAACAATTTCCTCTTGAATGAGTAACCATGGTGATTGAGATTGAGAACTCAATATCATCATCAACAAAGAACCAATCGGGGTTGAAGAGCCGGCGGCGGAGCAGGCACGGCACCGGCAGCGCCGCGGGCCGCCCGGTCGGGCCGCCCGCGGTGCTGGAGACGGCCGCCGGAGGCCAGGCAGACAATCGACGCCGCTGCGGCCCCGGGCGTCTTCCCACTCGCCCTCCGCCGTTCGGCTGGCTTGTTTGAACGATCCATCCACTCATTACTGCGGCATTCTTATTCCGATCAGGACCCGGGGCCTACAGAGCGGACCCGGAGAGGCGGCCTGCGCTACAGGCCGGAGCGTAGAGGGTGTTGGTTGGCAAAGCGAAAAGCGGATCGAGTATTCATGTAGAAGCCGCAAAAAAAAGGAATACGTTTCGTACAGTATTGCTTTGTTTAGTAAGGAAAGCCCTAGGCGGTATTCATAATGATAATAATAATAATAATAACAATAATACTGCTTTATTTGCTCATCTCCTGGCGTCGGTGTTTAGCCGTAGTATACAAATAGGCCGCCGTAAAAAAATAATGTCTCTTGATTGCTAATACATCAACTCCTGTATTAGCCAGTAACGTTGCCGATGTTCTTCGGAATGAATGGCCTGTATATGTTTCAAGATGTTGTTCTAGTTTCAAAAACTGTGCAATCTTATTAGGAATCATAGAAAGGGTATTCTTGCCGACTGGTTGGTTGTAACATTTACCTGCTTGATAGCGCATAAAAAAGCGTGAAATTTCAGTTTTAATTTCCAATCTAATCTTGATATATTTCTTGAGAATTTCTAGGTGAGAAGCAGAACCCAGACGAGAAGTACCTAATTGTAAACTTACCTGACATATCATTTTTAGAATCTGGAATTGTAACTATAATAATGTCATCGAAATTTTTGAAATTGACGTTGTCCAAAGTAAGTTTGCATAACTCATCAGAACGGCATGCTTTAGCAAATATATGTTATCGGGTGCCTGAACGAGAAAATTGTTGACTTGTTCTCTTGTAAAAACGTTTGACTTTTTAGGTGTATAGCCGTCATTCTTACGTTTCAAAAATGCTCTCAACTTGGGATATTTTGATATATCCACGTTCTCCTCTATAAAAATAGTTAACTTTACTAAAACTTTATTTTTTCATAAAACAACGTTTTTTAACTTCTGTTCTCTACCTAACCATAAGGCTAAGAATACTGAACACCTTCCTCCAGATCCCCTCTTCCTCTTCTTTGTCGACTGAGTACATTTCCGCAAAATTTTAAATTTTTAATACGGGTTACTACACAATAAAAACAAATAAGTCCCGTTTAACTGTTATCTTTATAATTACCAACATTCCAATTCAACATCATTAAAATAACCCTCATTAATTCAAAAGAACTATCACTTAAAAAATCGTAAACTTGACTTGTGCGGGAGAAGGGTCGGCACATTATTATAAAAAGACGTGCTTAAAAAGTCTGTCACAAGTACAAATATACTCTCGCAATTACATTTCATTATCTTTTTACGTTTAAAAGTCTAGCGCGCAAGCCACATCCTTATCGAAACTGACGAGTAATCACCCACGCTGCGCCTCGGGTGCCAGCGTAGAGAGCCAACCGACGAGGACGGGCCCTTCGTTACTGACGGCCTAAGGTGGTGCAAACGGATGTGTGCCCATCTGATAGGATTTTGCCGGCCGTTTTATATTTGGAATTATTCAGCCATTATAAAAGGGGGCTTAAGAGGGCTATGTCCAACATACTTGCCCTGAAAAATATACAGGGTGATTCACAAATGGCGACAAAAACAAAGATTTTTATTTGGTGTGCTGAATGTAAATTCTTCTCGCCCAGCGCGTCGTTGGGTAAAAAGCATGGCATATACTAATCCATGTGGTCATGTTTCGTACCATACCTCCTATTTTAACTATCCCTTTCATTTTTTTTTAATTCACCAAACCCTGCCAATCCATAATTTGCTTTCCGCAACATTCCACCTCGCCGCGATCGGTGCCAGGTATAGTCCAAGCATTATAGAGAAATGCTTACAGAAATTATTACCTGGGCCAAAAAAATATGACCGTATAGAAAATTTAATTTTAAATTGAGTTTCTTGTTCTTTAAACTCGATCCAAAATGGCGAACATGGTTAAAAAAAATCGCAAAGTTGCAAAAAACGGTTTGTCTAAAATAACTAAAAAAATATAGCACCGATTGAAAAATTTTAAATGAGAAAGTTGTAGGTTTTAAAAAGATCTATCGACTGATTTTTTGTAAGTATCGATTGCTTTGTTACTTTGCGAGATAACGAGCGTTCAAATAAAAACGTGGTCAAGTTGGTTCCGAAAATTTGGACGTAGGGCGTAGCGTATAGCAAATGAACTTAAACGTCATCTGTCAAAGCGCTATATCGCCGCTATCAATTTGAATATTTTCGTTTTAAAAAGTGTTTAAAATGGTGTT